ATCATACAATGTAACTACTATATAGTGAAAATACACACCACACACAGAAATATGTTTTAAAAAAAAAAACTAAGTATTTTTTACTCAAATAATTAAAAAGTCACCTTTCCTGTTTAACTTCTTGTCTTAACAATAAAAACAAATTTATGGTCTTTTCGTCTCCTGCTAAAACTCCATGATTCAATTCACCAACTCTGTGAAACGAACTTTTTGATGTCACAATATTCAATATGCAAATGCATTGCTTCAATTGACATGCCTCAAAAGTGTAGTGATGCTTCTTCTTCCGTCATGCACTGGGCCAGTAAGAAATCTGCTGCTTTTCGAACATTCCAGTTGAGACGAGCAAGTGTCTGTTTAAGGTCTTCTGCTTTAAGGGTGTGAATATTAACAGTCCGCTTCAGCTGCAGAAACTTTACAGCTTTATGTACGTCCCACTCCGTCTCATCAAGGGCTACAACGCACTCTTCAGGTGTCACATTCTGAGATAATAATATAAAAAAAAAGGTGCTGTTAGAATCAATGTTTAACCCTTAAACTGTGGTTGACATCATATGATGCAAGCATTTTGAATGGCCCGCCACAAAAATGTGCGAATCCTTTCACGTGGGGTGGTAGGTAGATTTACACAAGCCACAAACGAAGGGTTAAAAACTACAGTCATTTAAAATGTTGATATTTGAAAAGTAAATTTAAAAAACATTTACCTCCTTACTTATGTATGGAAGCACATTATGCTATTATAACAATAAATTGACAAACAATTTCTATCCATAACAAAGTGGTTTTATTTTGGGGGGGGAAAATACTACATGTTTCGACAGAACATTGGTCTCTCTTCTTCAGTACGTTCCCCCAAAATAAAACTATGTTTATATAAATCATTGTTTGTCTATTTGCTACGTCTCTCTTTGGTTAAAAGTTTAAAAGGATGATAGAAACTTACCAGATAAAAGGGAAAACATATATATATATTGTTGCATCATCGAGATCACATGACTACAGTGACGCCACGTTTCTAGAACTATCCCGTATCTTGGCAAATGCTCTAGTATTTGCTAGATATAGGGTAGTTTGGTATATATAAGAGGGGACAACGTGACGCAAGGTAACGTAATGTGTGTGTAGACAGTGAGT